TTCCCTATCTGCACCTTCCTGCCATTGCTTCAGTGGTAAGAGAGCAGAGCAACAGGTGGAGCATTTAGGTTTTTTGATACCTTTCAATGTTCTTGATAATTACAGAATCTACATATATATATATGTGAATGTTCTTTGAATCTTAGCAGATTCTTACCTCTGAAAGTACTTGTATGATAGGTTGCCTAAATTAAGTAATTTATTTTGGTACGGTACCTTCTTATGTATCTTTTAACATTTTAATTCTTTATTTAATCAAACTTATCTGCATTTTGTTGTGAAACTTGGAATTCCAGTTCTCTCTATTTTATTCTGCCCTTTTATTATGCATGTTGTTTTGGTGATGTCATTCGTATTCATAACTTTCTAAGCAAATAATACGACTTTTTTTTTTCAGATAGTTCATATGAGAGCTTTTTTCTTGCATCTATCAGAATTTCTAGTTCTGTCATGCACTCTTCTAATATAGTAATCTGTGCTGTACAGAGCTTTCTAAATGAAGCTGTTGTAAAAATTTGAGTAGTCACCCTTCCCTCTATCATTATTCTGACTGTTAGTTGTTTTGACCACAGCTGGAGATGCAACAGAGCTCTTGATAGCCCATGTTATTTTCTACAATAGGTAAAGGTCCTTTAGGCCCCTGCAAGGCTTGGTGAGGATTTGGGTTGTGTTACCTTTCCATTGCTGTCATTTGTCATGATCGCTGTCTATCTGCCTTTTTTGCTTAGAATTTGTTTTTTATGGACTAACCAACATGATTCAACAGGCACGATAATGTCATAATTACAGCTCATAACAATCTCATGTTTATAATCATATGTTTAGATGGTAGTTTAATGGTTTTGTATTAAAAACAAATAGGGCCTTTAGGTGGTGCCTTGAGGTATCTGACAGATAATGCTGTTGACTACTTGAGCCTGTTAGGCTTAGGTTTTAGGCACAGTAATATTTAGTCATTCAGCTTGCTGTTACTTATCTTCTTGGCCATTTGTACAAGCTTTGGGCAAGGGAATTTAGGAAACCTAAGTTGTCAGCCAAATCCAGCTTCATCCAAGTATTTGAAGCAGTTTTAAGAACTTACTGAAATTTGATTGTATGGAAAGTTCTGGGTGGATCCATCATATCTTTGTCTGGAATTGGGTTTTTTAATTGTTTGGGGAAGGGGAGTGCTAACTGGTATATGTATGTTAACAAATACATGTATGTGGTGGTGTCTAATAAACAAGTATTTTTCTGTGTGTTCTTATGGGATGTGATACATGGGACATGCTCAGTAATGAGTGTGTTTGCTTTTTTTGTTACAGAATATGAATGAGCAGTACCTGGGAGATATTTTTTTTGATGCCTCATTGATGATTTGGTCTATAGCATTGGCTGTGATTACTCAGATAGGCCTTTGTTCAGCGTTCATTTGTATGCTATGGGTAGTATTTCCTTTACTTGCTAAGCTGATGATCCATAAAGAATTCAGTCAAAAAGGTATGAGTTTTTAGGGGGGGAAGTTGTATGTCTAAACATCTGCCCCTACTCTTGTATATTGAGTGTTTTCCTTCAAACTCTGTTATTTACGCAAAAGAAATCCCAAACTTTGAATTTGAATAGTCAAAGAAACCACGTGATATTTTTGTAACAAGAAAATGTGTTCTTGAACTAAAGACAGTTTGAAAGTATGGAGAAGCTCTTTAAAAAAATACACTGAAAAACATCCTGTGTCTCAGGCTAAAAAGAACAACACTATTCTGAGTTATTAATGAGTGATCAGATACTTTGGACAGTAAAGGTTGTTAAAAAGTACTGTAATATTTAAACTGTTTGGGATAGAACACCTGCTTAATTTTTTTTTTTGGTAATGTGGGAATAGATTTGTGGTGTTTTTGAAAGAGTTATATTGGCATTAGCTATGCAAAATGAGATGCCCTTTCCATATCCATGTCAGGGATGAGGACCAGTATTGTGTATTGGGTCTTGCAGCAGTATATGGATATATTAGTAAAGCTGTATGTTTATGTCCTTTTAAGCTTTTACCTTTTTTTGTCTTTTGTTTTTTTCCTGTCCCCTATAGGTGCCACAGTGAAGTTTATCATGATGTACATGCTGGGAATGTTTGTTCCATATCTGTATATGCTGTATCTTAGTTGGACTGTATTTGAAATGTTTACACCTATCATGGGACGAAGTGGTTCAGAAATTCTACCAGATGTGGTGTTGGCAGGATTTATTGTGGTCATCACTACAATTCTGTCATCCTATTTTGTAAGTAGAATTTGTAAATGTTGTTCAAAACTTTTAAACTTTCTCTAGAGTTTAGAATCAATGTTTTTCTAAATTAATACTTGAAGTTAATGATAATTTGACAATATCTTAAATGTTACAGGAAACTTCCAGGAAACGTGTCAAAGATTCCATGTTTTGTGTTAGTCAAAGAAAAGTCATTGAAGCAAGTGTTACAAAAAGAGACCTTATCGCTCTCTACAACTACCTGAAAGGAGGTTGTAGTGAGGTGGGTCTCGGTCTCTTCTCCCAAGTAGCTAGCGATAGGACAAGAGGAAATGGGCTTAAGCTGCGCCAGGGGAGGTTTAGACTGGAAATTAGGAAAAATTTCTTTACGGAAAGGGTGGTCAGGCATTGGAACAGGCTGCCCAGAGAGGTGGTGGAGTCACCATCCCTGGAGGCGTTTAAAAAACGGGTAGCTGTGGCACTTCGGGATATGGTTTAGTCTGGTCTACCCTTGATTAGTCTAGAGTGGGCTTGGTAGTGTAGGTTAATGGTTGGACTGGATGATCTTAAAGGTCTTTTCCAACCTAGATGATTCTATGATTCTATGATTCTATGAAAAATCTATCTGCTCTATGATGATGTAGTAAAGATTGGTGTAAAATGTGCAATTTAATGCTGGAGTTTGAACAGGCATTCATTTTAGGTGAAGTATAGTATGTGGCCAAACAATATATATATTACACTTCAAAAAAGAATTCTTGGGGGGGCAGTTGCTGCTGCCATTGCTACAAAGGTTCTAGGGTTTTGCTGGCAGATGTTTTAAAAAATAGGGAATTTTTAAAAGCTCCGTGAAGTATTCATGTTATTCCTTTCGGTTTTAAATATGGAGATTACAGAGAAGTGTCTTGTGTCAGGTAGTACTTGCAATTATATCTTGTTCATGTACTTCCAGTTCCATAATTGGATTTTAGAGTTAGTATGAATAGTGTCTTACTTATTAAGTCTTGCAGTTTTATAACTGGGCTGTCTTTTTATTCTCTAGATTAACTTCATTTACCTTGTCAAAAGTACAAAAACGACGCTAATAACTTTAACTACTGTGTTTGTAGTCACTCTGATTCTCGTTTGTAGTGGAATCTTCTTTCCTTACAGTTCTGATGCAGCTAATCCAAAGCCTAAGCGAGTCTTTCTTCAGGTAAGAAAAGCCTTGTGTATTGTATTGCTTATGGTTACAAGAGTGTTTGTTTTTTTCCAAGCTTAACATCCCCTCCCTCCACCCCAAAAAGAGTAACTTTCCCTTTCTTGCTTGATTTAAAAGATCTAACAATTATTCCTGGATTTGAAAGAATTGCTAATGTTTCCCATGTTCAATCTCTGTGTTCAGTTCATCTCCATCAGAAGAGCAGGGTTTTTTAGGGGACTTTAAGTGGGAGAGTTGAGTAAACAATGATAATTTAAAAAGTGAACATGATGGGAGATGAGCAAATACTTACAGGTACAGCCATCTTCTCAATGTAGGTTTTTTTACGGTATGTTTCTTTTATCTGAGTAATTCTCTCTGTGTATTCATAAATACTCAGATATCTGTTCAGTGCATACTGAAAATGAAGTAGACTTCAAGGATTGACATGGAGGGTATTTCAGAATCACTTCTGACTCTAGCAAGCTGCACAGGCTCAATTATCTTTCTGTGTATCTTTTTTTTTTTTTCTTCTTCTAGCACATGAGCAGAAGATTTCATGATGTAGATGGAAATGTGGTTAAAAGTGACTCTGGTATATGGATTAATGGATTTGATTATAATGGAATGTCTCACATAACTCCCCATGTACCTGAAATCAATGACACCATTAGAACTCCATGTGAGGAGCAGGCTCCTTTCTGTGGCCTTCCTTGGATTCTGCCAGTGCATTTCATGTTCCGGTTGGTGTGAACACTGCTTCACTTGAGCACTTACTGCCAAAGCACATTGTCATTTATGCAATCTCACTTATGTACGGGAAGAATAAGTAAGGCTAATCATGGTCTAAAAATAAATAATCCTTCCACTTCAGAAGACACTTACACTTCTGTCTAGGTGCAGCATCTTCTGCCAGAATCTCAGCAGGAGATTGCTGGGTCTGCTGCAGGAGCTGTAGAAGTTCACATGTGGAAAATCAATGTCAGCACAAGTGGAGAATAAGTTGAAGGGGGGGCCTTCTAAAGGGCAGTTCAGAGTAGGCGTATGTATGTCTCTTCCCTTCCTCCCCTCCTCACCCCAGCTGACAGCAGAGGAAGTCTAGAGTAGCTGGTGTCCACAGAAGAAAAATAGCTGCTGTGACTATTTCTCATACCCCAACAATCTTGTGAGCAAAAGTGTACCAGTCTGGAGGTGCAAATATTCTTACTTATTTTATTATTTTGTAAATTAGGGCAGATGAAGGTAATGAATGAAGACACTGGTTGACTATTTTTCCATGAATATGCCCTTTAAATATTTGCTGGGCCACAAGCTGCTAATTTTACCTGCCTTCTGCTAGGATCAGTAGCTTTTGAATATTTCATTTAGTAACAGCACAGTCAGCTATATACTATACAAAAACTTCTCCTTGGCTTCTCATATTTAGTACCTCTGACTGTTGCATTGAGAATAAGTTAAAACTTTTTTTTTTTTAAACAGGAAAAACTGGTATCTTCCTGCTCCAGAAATTTTTCCAAGAAGCCCCATTCGCTTTAAAGTTCTGTCCAAGGAGCTGATGCCCTGGAACTCTGTGAGGTTAAGCTTTGAAGTATCTGGTGAGTGACTGAAGCTTCTGGTTTGTGATTTGTGTCTATTTTTATGCCCATAATAAATCAGGTTTTGACTCCAGTACTGCAGGTTCTAGTGCAATTCCCAAGATAGTGAGCTTTGTGAGATTAGCATGAATTAATTCAGTTTCATAACACACTAGAAGCTGTGGGTGTTGTGTTGCAGTTGTTATTTGGGGGACTGATAACCTTGTCTATTTTGAGTAAGCCTTGATCTTTTTATAGCAAGTCCTTTCTTAAAGTCCGTTTTATAGTTCCGTCCCTCTCCTGCATCATCATCTCATTTATCTCACTGCTTAGAAATAATTGAAGCTGCTTCTGTAGAGAAGACAGTTCTGTCATGTTTTGGGAGACACGAATGGTAATACACAGATAACATGCTACTGTATAGGAAAATAGATGGTTATTCTACCTCCACCTGTTGATACATCTAGAATACATACCCCTGTCCCTGCAGGTCCAAGTCACGTGTCTCTGTATGTTCGGCCACATGAAGGGTCGGCTCTGTCCACCTGGTCTCTTGGGGATGGTACACCAGTTGCTAGCTTAGGAGGAGACTACTTTGTGTTTTACTCCCACGGGCTCGAGGCTACACCGTGGCACTTCTGGATAGAGCTGTCAGTGAGTATGCTGCTGCTGGAAACCCGGCAATCCCTTGGTCTGCCCTGTTGTCACCATTTCTGCATTCTTATGTGAAAAATGTCATAATAACTTTCTTAAGCTTTGCTTTATTTGATAGATCCTAATTCTAGCTTCCCTCTTTTAACTTGTCCCCCAACTTTATATATCGGCTCACAAATATTTTTGATGCTTAGTCCACTAACTTGCCAAACAGCCAAAGGGAGAATATTTTCTGTGTCTCCATGGTCTTGGGTCATAAGTTTGGATTTCTCTGATCTTAACCTCATAGTTCTCAAAGTTATATCTTTATTACTGTTATTTCAGAGTTCTTTTTCCTATTGCGAGTAGTTTCCTTTTCATGTATTTTGTTTGCTTTGTTTTGGGAAATTACAGGGAGTCCTTGATGGGAAACTCACCTGTCTTAAAGCTGAAGAGAGTTGTAAAATCTTTGTTTTCTGAATTTTCATTTACATTATTTTCAGTTGGAAGCAAGGCTTCCAGCATTGCTGTTCCAGTGCGATCCACCCCCCACCCTGTTAACTTGCCAGTGAAGAACTTTTTGCAGATCTATATGTTTTTATTATAGGTGTAACAGTGTCTTACTCTGAGTAAATATTACAAGAACTTGAAAGTCCCTTGTTCCTTCATGGATCAGGCACTCTAAACAACCAAATAATCCTCTGAGGGTACTTGATAAAGGCAGACAGGAATCTGCAGTGTAGCAAGCTTTGCAAGATTGATAGTGGCAAAGCTATGCAGAAAAGGCTTTTCATCCTAAGGATTCACAATAGAAGGATCAGTATAAATGCTATATTGGAGTCCATGTCTTGATTTGTCAGCAAAACTGACAGATACAAATGCTGAAGTTAGAGCATGTGCAAGCTACGTAACATGTGAGAGCCACTGGGATCTAAATACCTAGTTGCAAGTTCAAGTCAAATTGAACTCATGTAATCAGACTGATAGGTTTGAAGATAGGAAGTGTTTTAACATATAGAACAAAGAGCTGCAGGATGAAGTTTGTTGCATAGGTATGAAGTCTATAGAAAAGTATATTTGGATTGATCTTATGTTTAAAAGCCATAGACAATCATAAAGACAGTGTTGCCCTTTTCTCACTTTCAGACCCCAGAAAAACATTCTGATGGAATAGTCTCCCTCGCCATAGCAGCACATTACTTTTTTGGAGAAGATCAAAAGTCACCTCAACTCTATGCCTTACTGGAGAGGTTTCCAAACTGGACGTTTTCTTCTGGTTGGTCCTGCACTTACGACCTTTTTGTCTTTTAATATTGACAGCAATACAGCACTACTAGGGTAATCTCTCTGATGCAGAACGCTGTTGTAGCAAACACATTCTAACAAGATGCCAAACACTTTCACAAGAATTTGAAGTACTTTGGCAACAAATGGTGTTTCTTTGACAGTTTGACTATTTAAAGACTACTGCTCTCTTGGGGATATAGTGATACTTCGTGTCAATGTGAATGCAGTTCGCCTTGGTTCTTCCGCTGAAATGGCAGTTTAAGTAGTGGGTTTCTTAAAATGAAAACTCCATTTAAGGAGGTAACATTAGCATAATATGATGGCAATTGTAATGAAGGGGCCTCATGATATTATTCTGATGTTACGTAAAATATAACCATACTTAACGCACATGTGGGGACTATCGCCTACCTATCCTATCCGTCCTATTAAAGTAAGACCTTCAGCTAAAACATGCTTGTTCACGTGGTGGGGGGACAGAGGTGGCAAAGTTCTAAACATTACTTTTGTCACTGGATGAAGTCACTGAAAGCTATGATGCTTCTGTAGGTTGCATTCACGGTCCTTGGCAAATGCACAATGCAGAAAAATTCGTGTTATGATGGAATGTGGTAATTATTTATCTAGATGATCTTTTCCAAATAATATGTGTCTGTTAAAAACTTATTTCCTACTCTTTTGCCTGTCTCTTCAGTGTTACAACTTGAGTGGGTAAGTTTGACCTAACGATCATCTTGCAGTTTTGTTCCTGTTGGGATCTTTCATTGTCAGCATATAAGCATGCGACTTGCTCTCTTGTATGTAAGAGTGCTGAGTTCCCATTCCTTGATGTGGATGTCTTATAATTAATCTACTCTAAATTTCAAGTTATCTTCTAATTTGTTAGAATTGGCTAACTTTTGGTATCTCCTCTGGAGAGACTTTGGTAATGTGACAGTATTGCACTTCGCTAATACATTTAACCATTTCTTAAAATACGGTTTGCTTTCCATAAGGAAAAATACCAAGAGTTATCTTTAAAAAGATGTCTAATATCTCTGGATTGCTCTTGTTTTATTTCCACAGGATGGGTTTTACAAATGACTGCAAGTGATTTAGAGTATCTTCCAGTTTTAATTGACAAGCTTTGAGTTCAGAAGCCACTGACCTCTGGTTTTTTACACTCCCTGGTTTTTTACACTGGTTTTTTTCAGTGCAGTGTAATAGTTAATGTTAGTTTCTGAAATTCAAAGAACTCTCTGTATCTGAAGAAACTTCTTCATGCTTTTTTCCAAACTCTACATAAAACATTCTGTGACATAAATACCGTGCTACAAATTACACAGATTAGTATTTTGTTCATCTCGTGAGTATTGCCAAATCACATGTGAACCAGATTTTGTGCGATTTGGGGTAAAAACATGCTAGTACTGGGAAGTTTGCAGGGCATGTGAAAGAAAATGTGACACTTTAATTTGTGTGAACTATGATGGACAGCAGCTCCCTGATGAGGTATTTTTCCTTCAAATTGTTCTGTAGTTGTGCATGATAGTGGCAAGAACCAGTTTAATTTGTTGCAAGGTACATTCGCGGAGATGGTCATGGACTGGGTAAGACATGACTCATGGACTAGCGTAAGAGGTTTAATTACTGTAATCATAATGAACTCGCCATCAGTATCTTAAAACCAGTAGGTCTTTCTACATTAACATGTGCATTAATCATCACTCACTTGATTGTATCTGACTTGAAATTAATAAATGCATAATACAGGGATTGTATTTAAAAAAAGTGCTATTAATAATTTGAAAAATGGGGGTTTTGTTCATAACTCTTGTGTCTTGAATCTCAACAAATGTTTTGTACTGTACTCTAGCTGATGCACAGCTAGTTAACTAAAACTGCACTGATATTTTCCATCTTCCTCAGTTTTGATTTTTGTCTTGTGTTTTGCCTCCACTTTAAAGCTTTAAAAAAGTGATGTGTGAAGAATTTGTACTAGGAGCCAAATATATAAAAAGGCCTGTTAGCAATTTCTGCAACTTTAGTGAAGCAATAACTTTTGCTAACTCAGGATTTTACCTTTATTAAATAATTTAATTATGAGGGATGTCTAGTTTGTTGCATATTTCTGTCTTTGTAAATAAAAGCGAAACTTAATCAGTGAAACTTGATTTTTTCAGCATGATTAAAGGCATATTCGAGTTGTTTTTATTCATTGCACTAATGTTTTATTTAAGCTTGGGATAGAAATACTGCTAAGTGATGCTGGAGTTAAGACAGCTAGAGTTAGAGCTATGTGGAAGATATGCATGAGCAAAGAATGTAAAAATTATGTGAGCTGAGAAATGTTAAAATGAGGGCCCTGGCTGGTTGCCTGGAGAGGAAGGTTGTTTTTGCAACAAGATGTGGTATGGAAGAGTCACTGGTAGCAAAGCTAAGTATTCTTTGCAAAACTGATAGTTGAGAGCAAATTTATTGTTGATCACAGGTAGAAAAACCAGGATGGAAATGTGTGCTAACTGTTCCAGTGTCCATCTGCTTCCCCATTCAGTACAAGCAGATCAGTTTCCTGCTGCTGTGGTTTATTATTTCTCATAAAAAGTATTGTGTGTCTTATTCTGTGAAATATACAAAAAGCAACCAGCTGGTAATTTTAAGGATAGAAGGCCATGGGAGTAACAAAGTGTCTGTATTCTTAGTGGGGGCAGTAAGCAGCTAGTTGATTAGAATTCCCCTGTGTTCATCTGAAACAATTTACGTTTTCTAAATTGCTTTACTCTTCCTTAATGCTAGAGTTCTTCCCTGACTTTTGATGGCTTTGAGAATCTCTGTTGTCTATTAATATACATAGTACTCTGTTACATACCTATAGGTAAAAGAGCTTCAGAAATTAGTATTTTATCAATTTAAGCATGTGGTTGCAAAGGAGGCCTGTACACATTGTGGTCATAGAATCTAATGCAGCATTAGAGTGTGTCACCGTGCCTTCAGATTGCCTGTCAAGTAGAAGCATGCATTTGAAGAAAAAGTGTTGGGATAGGTTGCAATCAACAGGAGAATTTCAGCTATCATAGACCAAGTGACAAGAGTGTTGAGCTGAGTAGAGCTGTTCTGTGTTAGCAAGACCTGTCTTTAATGCTCTGTTCAATCTAGGTTAGGTTGCAAACCTGTTGGAAAACCACTAATCAAACGGGCAAGATCTAACAAGTCTATACAGAACTAATTGCAGCATGTGGAACTTAGCTGCTGTAGAGTTTGCCTGCATGGTAATGCTGTTCAGTACTTTGTTCCTTGAGGGCTAAACCTAGTCTGGTTCTTGATGATTATCTGGAAGAAGCCTGCAGGTTGACCCGTCTTAGAACTTGATATGTGATCTTAGTGAAGGATGGGTAAAAAGCCATGCAAGATCAGTAACCCTAACTGCTGTCAACAAAACTGTGCGGTTAGACAATGTGAAGTTGCATTAAGTGTGACTTCTGTTTTGAAGATAGAACATGGGTTCTCAGTCTTCATGAAAACCTGTTCCAGTCTCAGAGGATAAAATAGTCCTAGAAATTAGTCAGGCTTCCCTGTTCACTGTTCTGTTGGGTTACGACACTTTATGGTTCTGTCAAAGCTGCAGAGATGCAGCTTGAGAACATGCCAAGGATAAAGCTGAGATGTGAGCAGGAAGTGTGAGCCAATTTAGGGAGATCTAGTCACTGCTACCTACATTTCAAGCAGGGTGTCAAGCATCACTGGCCATTAACAACAGTTTTTAAAAAAATTTCAGTTTCAGAAAGCTGTAAGAATCAGTCGTGAAAATCAGCAGTAGTTTGTCTAGAAAGGAGTAATTCTGTCAGTCTGGTGTGAGACGCCAGAACAAATACAGGCTTCAAAGCCAATAGGTACGGGTCAATTTAAGTAACTGTCTTAGAAAGCTGCCCATGCACTGTTTATTCAGGGATGCTGCTTTTTCTGTGGGTGTGTGGGTGTTTCTTTTTTTTAATAGGAAACAGTAATTTGAAAAAAGTTATGAAAGAGTGGTTAGGTGACTTACATCTGAACTGTTTAGCCAGCTTCAGCCTCCGGTTGTAGCCATTTGTAAGGTCTCAGTGCTCTCTGGTAGGAAACTCCTAGAGTTTACTTATTTCAGGTGGCATGTAATAAATAGAAAACTCAGGAAGACCAAGCTGTATCTTTCTTTCAGAGTGGTATGAGAAAGCTCCTCCATTTTCTGTGTTTAAGCACTGGGACTGCACTTGTCACTCACCATAAGCTGGCATTCATCTCACTGCCCACTAGAATATCTCAAACAGTCGTCAGCTTTAGGATGGGAAACTATGATGAGACAGATGTGCCCTTTTTTTTCCATGGGGGCTCTCCTTCCCTCAGTTGAAACCAGTTTACCACAAGGCACCCATTTTCTAATACCATTGCAGCTGCAGACAACTTCTGCCCTCAGTTTATAATGAAAAGAAGGGACCTCTTTTTTACAGGTTCTGGCTAGATTATGCATTCACGTATTTTTGTTTACTTAGCAGTGGATCTCAGCCTGTAGCTTACAGACACATCAGCTCTAAAACTGTTTAAATTGGTAGCTTTGGACTAAAACACACTAGTGAAAAATTAGCTTACTTTGGTTGACAAAAGTGATGGTGAAAATTATCCTCAGAAATGTGATTTCACTCAAGCAGTTTTGAAAGTATACCCTGTGCGAGAGGATTGTTTTTTTAAAATGGGTAGCAAGGAATCCAGCATTGTTGCTGTTTTTCAGAGGCAATTAGTTTTGTACAGGATGAGAACCAGCTGAAGAAAACTTGATTATATGCAAATGCTGGTGAGGAAGGAAATCGGACATCTTTCTATGCCATTAAATGCTAAATGCTTAAGTAGGCCAGGCTGGCAAGAACCAGGGCAGCCAGTTTTATGTGAGCTGGATAAGCAAAGTGAGAGACAGTGAGTGGGAATGCCATAGAAAATGTTGACCCTCAACTGGTTAAATGGCCCATTTTTCCGATGTTTAGGTTGAGGTAATAGTGCATGTTTGTAGATAAATAAACCTTTTGTGGTGGGTTAACCTTGGCTGGCTGCCAGGTACCCCACTCACACCCTCTCCTCAGGAGGCCAGTAAGAGAAAATAAGATGAGAAAGCTCAAGGGTTGAGACAGGGAGATTACTCACCGGTTACCATAATAGGCAAAACAAACTGGCCTTGGTGAAAGTTAATTTAATTTATTGCCAATTAAAGTAGGATAGCAACAAACAAAGAGAAAAATAAAAACACCTCCCCGTCATGTCACTCTTCTACCTCCTCTTCCACAATGGTGCAGAGGGATGTGGGACAGTCAGTTGGGGGTTGGGTCATGGTCGGTCTGTAGCAGCTCCTCTCTGCTCCTCCTTCCTCCTCACGCTGCTCCCCTGCTCCAGCATGGGGTCCCTCCCATGGGATTCAGTTGCCCATGAACTGCTCCAGCGTGGATCCTCCTCTTGATGGGGTCATCCTTCAGGAACAGACTGTTCCAGCATGGGTCCCCCACAGGCCACGGTTCCTGCCACAAAACCTGCTCCTTGCATGGGCTCTCCGTGGGCTGCAGCTTCCTTCAGGGCTCATCCAGCTGCTCTGGCATGGGGTCAGCCATGCTGCAGCCAGTGGAGATCTGCTCTGACATGCTCTGCAGCAGGTTGCAGGGGGACAGCCTGCTTCACCATGGGCTAAAAAGATTTAACTGTTAAACAACAGTAGCACAGTAGTAAGATAGATACCAATATTAAGAATGTTAGTATATCAGTTAATATATGTGTTTACTTCTGCAGATCCACAGGCTGCAGGGGATCTCTGCTCCAGTGCCTGGAGCACCTCTTCCTGCCTCTCCTTTATGGGCCTGGCTGTCTGCAGGGCTGTTCCTCACATCTTTTTTCCCCTCACTCATCTCTCCCACAGTTGCTGCATGGCATTTTTTTTACCCCTTGTTAAATATATTATCAGAGAGGAGGCACCAGGGTGGCTGACAGGCTCAGCTGTGTCCTGTGGTGGGCCTGTTGGAACTGCACCTGACACAGGGGCAGCTCTGGGGCTCTACTCACCAAGGCCACCCCTGCAGCCCCCCCCTTGCCACCTAAACCCAATACAACTCTTTTCACAACAACAGGTGGATGTAACTTCAAAGATGCACTAATAAGGTAATTTTTAACTTAGAAGCTTGATACCTTCATCCTGTAAAACAGGCTGTAGGGGTATGATGTGGCAAACTAAAACAGTCTTCATTGGGCGGTTTCTTTGCGAGCTTTGTTTCTCTGAGACAACCCACTTGAATTCTGGTATTTTACTGTCAATGGCCTGAACTCAGAAATAGTTATTTTCAACAGGAGAAACTTCAAGTAAAGTTGAATACATTTGTCTTTTAATTACAGGTATAACAGCAGTGAAATTGAACTACAAAATTAGCACATAAGATTTGCATAGAGAGAATTACTACTGAAGAAGTACAAACTTCTAAAATTTCACAACTAAAAAGATTTAACTGCTAAACAACAGTAGCACAGTAGTAAGATACTAATATTAAGAATGTCAGTATATCAGTTAATGTATGTGTTTATCCAAAACCTGAACAGCACAAAGCTGATCAGGAGGGGCTTGGCTTATACCATTACCACAGAACCACAGAAAAATATTAACTTGAAGCATAGTTTTTATTTCTTTTAACATAGATTAAGCATTTTTTTAATAAAAAAGCTTTAAGTATCCCCTTATAACAATAATGGATTTTGATGTCAGATCACAACAGGCCTGTAGGTATGACAGACATTATCTGTAACCAGTAGCTACAATGCAGACTAAGCTTAGTGCTGGGACTCTTAAACCTGATTTCTTTCCTGTAACTTTGATATTACTTCCAACTCCTAAATGGAAATTCAGGCTGTATTCACTAAAATCTCCAGCTTTCCAAGTAATCCTTGCAATTATTGCACTTGTACTGGTTGTATTGGCTTAGTAAAGCCATTCTAAAGCAACAGTTTAATATTTGTACATTTTAAAGCACTTGATCTTATCTACAAAGGAAATAAAGACGATAAAAGCACAATTTATTTCAACTTAATTGTGAATATTCTTAATTTTCAGAGTTTAAATGGATGTGCATTTTGTAACTACACTAGAAAAGCAACAGATGCTGCAACTACCCTATGATGACTAGTTTGGTCCATGTCAGTAATCAAGTGATGTTATAAAAAATAAACTAGTTTATTTTGTATAAAATGAGTAATGTTGCATTTTTGTTCAGATTGCACAGTACAAACAAGCTAATATCTAAATTAATACTGTTACAGGTAGTTATTACATAGGGACAGCAGCTAGAAAAAATAAGTACCTCAAAGCAACAGACTTCTGCAGCCAGCTTTCCATAACGTTGTATGAAAGTTAAATGTCTTAGTTACAAGAATGCATATTATAAAATGTTTGAAAAATGTTTAAGTATGAGCTTTTGAACTAATTTTCCATAGCAAGAGTATACGATGATTATTTACATTTAAAAAAATCCATTTTTCAGAAAAGAATTTACAATGAAATAAATAACCTTCAGCAATCCCTTAAACCCAACTACAAGATCTGTAACTGGCAGTAAAAAACAGGTAAGCCACCTTGTGTCGATGTTAAGTCAGTAAAGTATGCCTCATCCAGAAAGAAGTGCAACTCTGCTTTAACTTTACTAGTAATCTAGAAACATGCACAATACATATCGGTACCTTCAAATATGGTACAACCTTGAGTATTTGTACAAGAGTATTCACAAAAACATACAATATATTTTACAGTCCTTTAATACAAAATAGCAATATCAAACCAATCTGAACTGCATTGATCAGACATTTCCTAGGCAGGCAAGCTGCAAAGGATAACAGTTTTTAAATTTAATCCCCTCTTCGACTTTTAAACTCAAGCAAGAGATAAAGAGTTTCTTCAGAACATGTGTTGGTGATGTAAAGGTACTGATGATGATGAATATTAGCCAAACTTGTCTCCATATGTATTCACTGTCTCTCAACACTATTAAGTATCAAAACCTAAAGCTGCAGTCTGAAGATTGCATAAAAAAAAAAAACTTGCCTCCCTTTGAAATTATTAGATGAAACTGCTGCTTAGTTATCCCCACTAAAGATTTCAAAGAATGAAATATTAAAAAAAAAAAAAAGTTCAAATCCAAAACATGGAAGCATGTCTAAGAGCTGGTTTGCTTCCTTTCACACCTGATGCTTGGGAAGTTGTTCATCTTCTGTTTAAGACACAATACAGTCATAACTGCCTTCTTGGAATAAATCCTCATCCTCTGTCTTAGACTTGTCGTCTTCATGCCTGCTCGCGTTGCTGTTGCCAGCATCACTCTGAGGATTAGTGCCATGGCTACATGAAGTCCTGCTTTCCTCAGCTCTGGGGTTTGCTTGTTCAGTAACCTTAGAAGGATTCACTGGCTGAAAAGCTTCAGGCTGCACTTGCTCTTCTGCTATTTCACTTAGTTTCTGGATCTGTGGTTTGATGATATTTAGAAATGGCTTGTACCCAGGGCTAGGAAAATAATGGTATAGAACACCATGAGTGAATTAAAAAATAGTACTTCTATCATATGCCTGCAAAGCAGCTCTCCCTGGGAGATGTTTAATATAAAGTAAGTATCTTCTATAAACCTTCCTGTATAGAAACTTTTTTTTTTTTTAAATAGAGGGGAAAAAGACAACCATAAACAATAATAGTTGGGGGGTTGGTTATTTTGGGTTTGGTTTGTTGTTGGTCTGTCCCACACCCCTCCCCCACCCCAGTTTGGTCACAACTGTATGAAGTGACTGTCCTGAAATTTTCTGGAAAAGTGCTTTTAAATAATTGTTTCAGCTAGGGCTGAGATAACTCAAAGTTATTTTTTAGGTAACTAATTATGTACAACTGGAATAAAAATGAAGATGGAAAATAACACTTACCAATCTGTAGAAGCCCATTTGTCAACAGCATATAGGCCAGTCTTGATATTCTGACAGATTTCTCCATCAATATCAGAGGATTGCATTATACTGAAAACCTGGTTGATTACTGAAGATTCTCTGAGGATAAGGCCTATGATAATACACCAATCGAGACATCCTGCTTCCATGAAGATATGTAGCAAGTACCTATATGGAAAAAATAATCTACTTATTTCTTTTTCCATTCTGAAGACAAAATCCCAGTGTAATTCTGTAGACAGTATTTCTTTCTCCTAATGCTGCATGTCATTTTAAGTGTCAAATGTAAAGATTACTTTACTTACCGCAGCTGGACCTGTGACTTGTGCGGCCCTTTACTAGCCAGCTCTAGAGAGATATGTTCAAGCTCTGACTGAGTTAAACTTTGACTGGAGAAGTTTTCATCCACCATGGTCCAGTCACCATCCACCATAGAACTTGTTTCAGTCAGGTCTGTTGCTGAACCAATGCTGCATTCATCACCTATCAAAAACACTCAGAAACATAAGGGAAAAAGAAACTACTTACTTTAGTAAGATTCAGAATTTCTGAACTACTTCCTATAGAAATTGACAAATTACACACTAATGCTTCGTTGTGTATCACAGTGCTAAGAAGTTACTTCAGGCATACTTCTTGTCACACTAGATGGCAGAACTACTTTGCAGTAATGCAGTAGTTTTTCTATCAAATAAAAATAATTCTGAGGAATTGTGGTGGGCTGACCCTGGATGGATGCCAAGTGCCCACCAAGAATAATGTCAATAAGGGATCCTAAAGATGTGTTGGCAATCACTGCAAAAGCATAGTGACAGCCTCTCACATACTATAGTTCTAGAATTAAGTCTGTAGGACGGGTTGCAGTCTGTCTATTAACTTTGTTAAAAATTAAGATGCAATAGCAAGTTCTTTTCTTCATGCAAAACCCTGAAGATTCTGAATGCCTGGTAATGTAAATATTTGCCTGCACTAATTACAAAAAGAAATAAGTGTTTCTAATAAAAACATGAAGAGTAGATGTAGCCACAGAATTTTCAAAGGAACGGTAACAGCAAAGATGAAACCATTATAGCGGTGAGTCATGAAGGCACCCACCCTCCAGAACAGTTTCCGTATTAAAGTAGATGCATCTTTTCTGTGGAAAATGTTTAGAAAGTCAGAAAGTTATTTTATTAGTTTCTTGCCCATGAATACCACTCCTGGATTAGTTATTTTTGAAATTATTATTATTAATAGAATTCAGCTCGCAACCACTTTAGAAATAAACTGCTTCAAAATGCATACCAAAGTCCATTGAACTCAAAGGTGGTCTTCCAGCTCAGAAAAAAAATGAGATACTTGTTTATAGAAACAGCAGTAGTGGCAGACAGCAGTACAAGATAGTGCAATGAAAAGAGAAATAAATTTTCCCCATTTAAATTATGCTTTTCTGGAGAGTTCTATAACAAACTTACTTAAACCTAATGCATTCTTGCACTCTCCAGAAGTAATAAACAAGAAACAGGAGTGGAAATGCAATGAGGCAGTGCCCAAGCAGAGGGAGAGAACCTCACTCTTTCTTCATTTTTTAAAGCCTGTCAGCTTGTTAAATAGCAGCTCCAAGTGCTCTGACTCTCACAGGAGGCCCCAGCATCTTGGGGATATTGCAGTTCACACTTAGTACTCAGGTCTTTCCCCTAATAAAGTGGAAATTGCATGACATAGACACTGTTGAAAACACTGGTCTATGCTTGAGGACAAGAGGCAAGAGGGAGTTAAAAAAAGAAGGATGAACGGTCAGACAAATATTTCCTTCTCTGACTGTGGTCAGAAAAGATAACATAAAGAATAAAATTCCCCTTTGTATTTTCATAAGCTCATCATACATTTGAGCTTTTAGAAAACTGACTTAAACAAAGCCATAGGAAAGAAGAAAACTATATGGGACTGTAAGTTCCTCAACTTCCTCAATAACAAATGTATCTAATACCTTTCTAAAGAAATCCAAAAGCACAAAGTTCATGCATTAGAACAGTGCCAACCTGTGCAAGGGGCCGACCCGTGCAAGAGAAAAAGATTAAAAAAAAACCTCAGAACACTCTTCCCAGCCAGACTGTAAAAATACTAAATTTCAAGTCACCACTACAGACAGGAACTTCAGCAAATATCAACTCCATATTCTACTTCAAGTACTTAAAGATACATGACACGGGCATTATCTTTCTGTTGTAAAAATTTCAGTTCACTTTTCAACAAGTCTGCTTTTTTTTTTCCTGAATTATGGTTATCAGCAGCAGAGAAGCAACAATACAGTAGTGGCATGCAAATATCAAAATGTAAGTGTGTACTTCCAGGTGCACTTTCCCAATGAGCAAACAGAAGGAAGAGTGACTAACCTTTACTTAGCAAAGGAGAAAGGAATGCATCTTGCATGTGTGGTCCATGGGACGAAACTGTGTCAATCTCTCTCTGAGAGGAGCCAATAGTGCCAAGCCAGCTGCGACTCCGAGGTGTGTTTGGAACCCCCGTGTCCATTTCCATGTTTACAAAGGTGTCTGCAGACTGAGATTTTAGCAGCTGCTCCCCCACGGCTAAAAAAAAGAGCCCATCAAAGAAAAGTCATGTAACCATCAAAAAAGAAATTTGGAAAGTTCTCTCCAGGCATTTCAGGAAGCTACCACTTGTATCTAAGTCAATATTCAATTAGTTTGCTGAGGGATCACCAAAAGCAAAGGAATGCAGCAAGTTTAGGTATTTCAAGAATTTCTGATCAGCTTTTTATGTCAGCACTGGCATAAAAGAAATATCAGCTGATAAAGTGTTAGTATCAATAGAACTAAATAATGCTGCTGCTACTACCAAAAAGAGGAAGACTTAGCAGCTAGTATCAACTTTGCCCTAAGAAGATAGAGTAGTGAACTGAGAGATTAATAATACAAAGGAAGTTTACAGTAAGTCCTCAAAATTCTTACCCCTTAACATAAAGCAAATTTCAAATATTAGGAACATTACTTTTTTAAATATAAAAAAGTTAATCAAAACCTCATCTAAAGACTGTGTAAGAATACTGGGTTTAGTAATTCTTTGTATCAGAATTTACATCAAAGAGCAATATCCATGTTCAACTCATCCAGTTCAGTGCACCTGAGAAAGCAAGAAACCTCAACAGAAACAGTAGTGTAATGAGACTACACAAGAGATGCCATCTGTGCTAAACAGAATCCCTTCAAAAAAACACACCCTGTGTAAGAAAGCTGTGCAGGTGGCAAGCCTCAGCCTGTTCTTTGCTTGGCTGAGCTGAGGAAGGACAGATTCAGACTGATGGGTGTAGGACTGCAGGAGGGAAACCTAGTCCAAATCAACTCAGATGTTACAGCACCTGTCTTGTACTTTCCATTCTTGAAAGGTGAATTAATGGACGAAGCCGGTATGACTGGAAATGGCCAGAGGAAATCATTGTGTAGCTTTTTCAAAGCGTACACAAAATCCTCCACGCGGGCAGCTCTGGCTCGCTCCTTGCACAGCCAGCCAATCAGCTCAAAGCCTAACTGTGCAGCAAAGCAGCCAAGGTCTTTCAGCTTGATTTCTTCTAGCAGACGCCGAGCATGCCGCCAGAGCATCATGTCAATGTACATGTTCTCGGCACAGTCACTGTCTTTACTCCACCTATAGACAGACCAGAGAACAGTGACATTAAGGCTGATAAAATGGAGTTGTAAAGGCTGTTGGCCATAACCACAGTACATCAAGTGACCAGAGTAGTAGTGGGAGCTTTTTATATACCAACAAAAGCAGTTTCCACCATTCCTTGCTATTTCTGTTCTCTAAGATCCCACTGCCTCAACAGGTAAGTGAAATAAGGGAAGAAAGTTACAACAGCAGCAGTGTCCATAGAGTATTAAACTATTAGCAGTGCAGGAAAAAAGTAAAGAAGGAGAGAGAAAAGGCAAATGCCATTGCAAAGTGACTTCTGAGAAACAAGTTTAGAGAACAAGTCAAGTATGAGTCTAGGACCCCTCCTATCAAAACTCTTAAGATAGTACCCTCTGTGGAAAATACTAAATAAAAGCATTTGAATTTGTACTAAGATTGTTTTGAAGGTCTTATATGGGGAAAAAAGCCAAAACTAAGATAATAATGAATCCCAGCTTAGTGCTGCTTCTGAACATTAATACCGATCAATACGAATTCTGTATACAGCAGTTTAAGAGGGATTCACCCCAAGCTGTAAAAGGCTCTGTTTATGGCTTGGCAACACTCTGCTAGATGAGGATGTGTGCAGTATCACAGTGCAATGTATACTATGACGCTGCAGTACTGCAAGCTGTTCAAGACGTGTCTTTCAGCAAAACAGATCCTTCACATCGAAGGCATGCAGTCTCACTAGCATGCCTCACTAAATTACTACATATGCACCCAATGGATTCAGAGGCTTTTGGTCAGCAGTATCCATGTAAGTGTGCCTCTGTATACACACAAACACACACACACGTATATTTACATGTGTGAGAATATATTAACCCAAGAATGCAGAGAGAGGCACAGACATTACAAGAGTTGGGAAAAGACAAATGCAGAAGAATGTGGAGGGAGACACTGACAAATCTAACTCTATCATATAATGTACTTCTATAACTTAAATTGGTAAGACAGTTAGTACGGTACTTAACAGACTGGAGAATAAGAGGATGTTACTACCAATTACCTTTTTCCAGATGGGCCAGAGGGCATACTCAGTGTTTTTGTCAAGTTAAATTTGCTGTGGAGATTTTCTGCGGATTGGGATAAACTAATGCTGCGATGTCTGAAGAACTCAAAGCCACTACTTGAACTAGGTTCCTAAAACCAAGAAAACCCAAACATACAGTCAAAGGAGCAAACATGCTATATACTAGCAAGATTAATCATACAAGATTTGATGCACAGTATTTACTATTTTCATCACAAACCTGAGTTGTTGGTGTAGCTGGAGGTGTCTCTGTTTCTCCAGAGCCAATGGCTTTAAGAAATCTGATCATATGACGACAAAGATCCCACTTTCCCTGCTCTAAGGCAGTATTAAATAGGAGAGTAGCATGTTGTCTGCTAACTGCTGGAACTTCCATATTCTGCAAGTAACAAAGCATAATTAACTTATTTGCTTTTGACATCAAACAACAAAAGTCCTATTAAGTCAAGCTACGTCATTGAATCACAGAATCATTTCGGTTGGAAAAGACCCTTAAGATCATCGAGTCCAACCATTAACCTATCACTGCCAAGCCCAGCACTAAACCATGTCCCTAAGCACCACATCTACACATCTTTTAAATACGTCCAGGGATGGGGACTCAACCACTTCCCTGGGCAGCCTGTTCCAGTGCTTGACAACCCTTTCAGTGAAGACACTTTTCCTAGTATCCAATCTAAACCTCCTCTGGTGCAACTGGAGCCCATTTCCTCTTGTCCTATTGCTTGTAACTTGGGAGAAGAGACCGACACCCACCTCCCTACAACCTCCTTTCAGGTAGTTGTAGAGAATGAAAAGGCCTCCCCTCAGCCTCCCTTCCTCCACGCTAAACAACCCCAGTTTCCTCAGTCCCTCCTCTTAAGACTTGTGCTCTAGACCCTTCACCAGCTTCATGTCATGTTCAAGCATACCAGAGATTAGAAGAAGCAAATTTCATGCTATTATTTTCCTTTTATATAACAGTAAACTAACTACTTACATTGCATGGTATTCCCCCCCTTCATAACTGGACAAAATCTCAACAAAAAACTGTTATATTAAAAATTTAACATGTCTAACTTTGGTATGACAAGATTTTTCAAATACTTCAACATTAGTAAGTATCACTTCTCTTGCAATATATGAGGCACCATTACCTGTAGGATAATAAGATAAGAGGCAGCTGTGTCCAAGTCCTGGGCCATTAAGCACTCTTCAAATAAGTCCTTCGGGTTTCCAACAGCAGCAAAAAGGTAATTCCACAGGGCATATTCTGTCTTCCTAGCACAATGAACAACTGTCTGCAGGAAGAGGGGGAACTCTGTAATGAACTTCGCCACAGTGGGAAGCAGAGGGTCGGGAATGGGTTCCCGCGAGGTAGCTTCTTCTTCCAGCACTTCATGAAGCATCAGTTCTAGTACGTGAGGAAAGTATGGTAATGTGGCACAGGAGTGGGCCAAAAGCAAGGCTTGTTCACCGAGGTTCCTAACCAAGAGCTGGCGTAAAATGTGATGGAGGTAGATCTGAGAGGTTCTCTCAACAATGGAGAAAGGAAAGAGAACCTCTAAGTGTTCTCTAGCACTGGTTTGAGTGTATAAACAGTCATAGAGCACAGTGTCATTAACAGCACCAAGAACCAAGGCATCTTCAAACAAAACAGCCAATGGGTATATGTTGATGTGGAAAGGCAGCATGATCCGTCTTGACAGAAAGGAATGTGGTTTTCGATGATCTCTGGGAAACAGGGGAAGCCAGACTTTCATACCTGCCCCACCACAGCTGAGCCACAGAGCCTCCAATAAGTGGCGTTTCTGTTTGTTGATCCTGCAAGTAGTCCATACATTTTCAACAGACTGGGCTAGGACAACTGGAGCACAAAAAGGCAGCTATTAATAAAAAAGAAAAAGAATTTGTCATTCCTTTTTTTTTTTACCCTCTTCACAAAAATGCAATTTTTTCAGCCAAGAACTACTTTTTTCAAACATGTTATTCTTCTAATAAAGGGGAAACAAATCTGCTTATCCTTTAACTGCACCCCAGCACCTGGGAAAACACCACTTACTACTTACATTACCTCCAAAGACATGTCTTTCATTTTTTTAACCTCCTTATAACCTAGTCAGGAAGCCAGAGGGGTGAGAATAAGGGAGGAAAATAAAAACCTGCTCTCTGCCTCTTCAGTTAGCCCAAGAGTCCAACCTAGAATGGACAAAATTACTACAAACACCAAATTTGCTCATGTTTCATTGAGCTGCAAACACCTCTTCATCTAAACTTTTCAGACTTCACTCTCCCAAAGTACTTTTCATCAGCACAGAAAAACTGAAAAGTTCAGTCACTGATTTCTATTATTGTTGTTTTTAGGAACTTTGTAAACACACTCTGCAAAAAATGATAACGTTCCATAAACATACAGAACAGTTTTAGACAGACTGGAGATCTTCTGTCATTAGCGTGTATCAAATTTTGCACAGGACCTTTATGCTTAAAGCTCTTATCTTTCAGCGCAATACAAGTAGCAAACACATGTAAATACTTTAGTTAGACCTTCATGCAATTAAGTAGTAACATTTCACAGATTCTTAGAGAAAAAAGTCACAGGAGTAGTGATTTAATTCCAGCTAACAGTTCAGCCTAGAAGTATAGACAGTGCCTTGCATTATAGGCATCTTTTCGTTATGCCTGGACCATTCCCTTCCACAAATTCTTCAGTCACTGATAACATCTTTGAAGCTGTATACAATATTTCACATATATTTACTCACATGCTTCCTTTGATTAGGATTATTATCCTTATCTCTTATCTGGGGTCCAGATCGATCCCGTTGCAACATGATGAGTTGTCCTGCTAAGTTTATCATAATACTTTCAGCCTCACAAGCCTAAGGATAAAAGAGTATTATGCAAATTATTTAAGCTTTTTGAATGCATCATTTTACCCATAACCACAATACAAACCCAGAATAAAAAGAGTAAATTAACTGCACTGCCATACAGAGATGACTAACAACCAAGTTAAATGCAGAACAACTCAGAAAAATCAAGTAGAACTAAGTACCTATAGATAGATTCATTTTTGTAGTTCTCATGCAAAGGAGTAAATACTGGAAGGTTTCTTGTTCACTAGACTTATTCCATGTGTTTATTTGATAGGAGCTTTTTCCAACTATGCTTCTTGGCATGGGCAAGCCACCAGTGTTTTAAGAAAAATAAAGCTTTGTGTTCTTATCAGTGTCACCACTATACGATTGCCAGTATCTGACTGCAAAGACTAACACTGGTACACAAGCCAAAAACAGTTAAGCCAAAAAGAGTTTAGCCACACTTGTACAGCATCTTGAACTTTTAGAAACTGCAGTTAGAGAAAAATCTTTCTAGTTAGGTATATCAAGAAAGCAAAAGATTTATTTCAGGACTGTTTCATGTTAATTTTAAACCAAGTCACTGGAGCTAATACCATGCTGTGCGTGAAGTTTAGTTTTGAAATACATGGATAGACAGCCTGTATGGTGAATTCGCAGCATCAGGTGTTAAGGTCACTAATAGGTAACAACACTGAAAAGGCTGATACACTAACTAAGCCAGACACATTGCTTTGTCTACAGTGCAGTCTCATACTCAGTGCTAACTTTAATACTTTTATTTTGATCAGGAGGATTAACAAAGTTTGAAGATATGGGCTCTTAGAAAGAAAAGGGGTAATATTTGTTCAGTCTGAAGCTACGTTTAAAATATTACGAGTGTTCTAAGAAGTTTCAGTAGCTTTTTCTCAAAATTAGGAAACGCCACAGGTCAGGTAGTTCAGGAATAAGGACGCTGTCTCATGGCAAGATGGACTAGAAAACCACAAGCATGTTGCCTTTTATGCCCTTTTCTAAGATCATATTAAAGTCTCAGGACCCATATTCAGTATTGTGGGCCACTAAATCAGAATTAACTGAAGGAACTGAAGGAAGCAAGCACACACACCTTCAGATTTGACATCTGTGCCATTGCTTTCATATTTGCCAGTGGCTTTGGTATGTATAGAAAAATACATACCTTCACATGTCTATGGGCCTGCCTCACAGACAACACAACTTCGAACTATCTTAAGGTAGCTGCACTGATGAGAAAATACACTTCATATTGCAGCTACTCAAATAGTTAAGCTTGATTTGTTTACACCACAGACAACAAAAATCCGAATTCTCTTTGCACTGTGTTTTTAGTGGCCTGAATAATTTCCTGGAGTTAAGACAGGGCTTCATCTTCACACCTGACTCATTGTTTGGCTGTCGGCCTATCTCCTGATGTAACTAGGGGGAGAGATTACCTGATTTTATTTTAGTGTAGTAGGAAATTGACCAGAAGTAACCTTATAGGATCATATGCCATCTTTTCCTTTTTTCTGCTTATTCTTTCAGTAATGGACCTGTTGCTTCAAGAAAGGTACTTCCTAATGCCATGGATTGCTCTGGTGTTCAACTTTTAATACACAATAGAGAAACATACCCTTGACATAGTTAAGTTTAATTTGTCCTCCAAGATTTGACCCCAAACTTTACAAGACGACAAGAGAAGATATGCAATAGAAGTAAGAGTTTGATTTTACTTCCACACACTCCCGAATTCACACATAAAATGTCTGTATAACAAGCACCAGAAAAAAACATGTTCTACATTTTACCACATAGAAGAACCACTGATTTATGATTCATTTATCAGCCAGGTAACCTTTGAGGACTAAGCTAACAAATCCAGGCACTGATTATTTTAAGTTTTGAGCACTATAGACCTGTTACCTGCTGAGGCATCTTCAAGGTGATGCCAGTCTCTGTCCTCACTGATGTCAACGTAACAGACACTACAAGAAAAGGATGAGGAATGTACCGGGACATGGACACTTCTTGAAGAACTTGGATACTGGCAGTAGGGTTAAGACTGAAAGGAAAGATAACTACGTTTAGGAATTTTAAAATAGGATTTAACACAAAAATTAGTATCTTGAAGTAAACATAATGAAAATAAGCAACTTAACCTCAGCAAACAGTTTACTCTACAGACCAAAATGACTTTTCTTTAACCAGGAATCCCACAGGCCCACATATCTACTCTATATAAAGTTACCAAATAAACCTAAGCTGGGCTACTTTATCTTGATACTTTTGGGGAATATAGCCATGAGTGGATAGGAGACAACATCAGGTATTTCAGACTAAGACTCTATCAATAAGACAATTCCAGGGTTTGGGTTTAGTTGGAGTTTTCTCTGAAAAGCATTGATAATATTTTCCTCTAAAGTGGGTCAACAGCTTGCTTTCTGCTAAAAAGAATGTCTCTTCATGCTGAAACCAAGATGCTGTAACTGTAAGAAAAACCACCTGCTTAGGCACTTCAAAAACTATCTGGGAATCTTCATCTCCTCCTTAGGTTCACTAATCTTAACTGTCTGAAAGTTTTTGGTTCTTGCATTGCTGCTTCTTTTGCACCAAAACAGCTCCCCACAACCACACCACAGACCAAACTTTTTCTCTCTTCATCTTTGCTACTCCACTGCCACCCTCACCAATTCCTTCCATTCCTTCCACCAATTACTTCTCATGTTAGAAACATCTTTTATTAAAAATAGTCAAATATGTGGGTGCCTTTTAGTACCTTTTTGTTCTATCTAGATTCAGTTTTCAAGTTCCTACCAGCTAGAACATGTTCGTACCAACAGCTAGAAATGCACATATGTCAGTCACTACCTCCACACCTAGTGTGCGTATCTGCATACATGCAAGCAACAACACTCATGAACTATCACTTGTGCATGCAGGTAACACCTACCCCTCTGTATTTTAAACATCTGACTCCACAAGTTATCAAACAACTTTATATTACCCTAAGAATTTACTCAGACTGACAACAGATCTACAAGCACATTACTGCAAAAGCATTTAAATACTGATACTCACCCTTCAGGCCTTCTCTCAATACTGTAAAGGCAAATGGAACAATCTGCTCTGAATAATATTACAATGTCCCGGAAGACACTCAGTAGTAACGTGTCTGCTTGCACTTTGGTGATGTGTGCAAATGCATTGTCAAGATTAGACGTTCGCAGGTAGATTCTCAGCTACAAGGAAAAGCAGTAGTTTGAATACAGGCTTTGTTGACCAACAAACTAATATCCATATTCAATTATTTTCTTTTTTGTGGAATGACTATCAAGGATTTCTAGCAAGACACATCACTGGGTTTTTGTTTCATCAAATGTTTTATGCATTGCATTACATTATTGCATCCAAAGTGGTTAAAGAACAGTACAGCCAAATCTGAAGTACTGAACAACAAACACAAGGAAGTTTTATTCATTAGTTTTAAGAAGCAAAGAGTAAGTAAAGCTCTTCTGCTCATCTAATTTAAAACCTTACAAAAGTGTCCCAAAATACTGTAACTAAATACCTCAAAACAGGCTTTGTGCTAACATGCAAAAATGTCACAAAGTTTTCAGAACAATGAGCAGATTCATGGTAGTCAGCAGAAAATATTTTTAATAGCAATAATAAACTTTCTGCAAAGAATTACTTACAAATTAATAAAGAATTTCTGAATGGGACCAAAAGCCACCTATGTATTATAGAATCATAGAATAGTGTAGGTTGCAAGGGAGTTTTAAAGGTCATCTAGTCCAACCCCCCTGCTCAGAGCCCCATCCAACCTCACCCTGAATGTTTCTAGGGATAGCACATCTACCACATCTCTGGGCAACCTGTTCAGTGTTTCATCACCCTCACTGTAAAAAATTTCTTCCGTATATGTAGCCTAAATCTACCCTCTTTTAGTTTAAAGCCATTACCCTTTGTCCTACTGCAACAGGCCCTGATAAAAAGTTTGTCCCTGTCTTTCTTATAAGCCCACTTTAAGTACTAAAAGGCTGCAATAAGGTCTCCCTGCAGCCTTCCCTTCTCCAGGCTGAGCAACCCCAACTCCCTCAGCCTTTCCTCATAGAAGAGGTGCTCCAGCCCTCTGATCATTTTTGTGGCCCTCCTCTGGGGCTGTTCCAACAGGTCCACATCTTTCCTGTGCTGAGGACTCCAGAGCCGGACGCAGTACTCCAGGTCAGGTCTCACCAGAGTACAGCAGAGAGAGAATCACCTCCCTCGACCTGCTGGCCATGGTTCTTTTGATGCAGCCCAGGATACACTTGGCTTTCCAGGCTGCAAGCACACATTACCAGCTCCTGCCCAGCTTTTCATCTACCAGTACCCCCAAGTCCTTCTCCGCAGGGCTGCTCTCAATCCCTTCATCCCCAGCCCTGTATCGGGCTGCCCCAACCCAGGTGGCAGGACCCTGCACTTGGCCTTGTTGAACGTCATAAGGTTCACACAGGCCCACTTCTCAAGCTTCTCCAAGTCCCTCTGGACTGCATTCCATGCCTCAGGTGTGTCAACTGCACCACTCAGCTTGGTATCATCCACAAACTTGCTGAGGGTGCACTTGATCCCACTCTGTCATTGATGAAAATATTAATCAGTACTTCTTGTCCCAATATGGACCCCTGTGGGATACCATGTCACCAATCTCTATCTGGACATTGAACTGTTGACCACTACTCGCTGGATGTGACCATCCAGCCAATTCCTCATCCACCGAACACTCCACCCACCAAACACATACCTCTCCAATTTAGAGAGAAGGATATTGTGGGGGACTGTGTCAAAGGCCTTACATAAGGCTAGATAGATGATGTCAGTAGCTCTTCCCTTGTCCACTGATGTAGTCATGCCATCACAGAAGCCACTAGGTTGGTCAGGCAGAAGTTGCCCTTGGTGAAGCCATGCTGGCTGTCTCGAATCACCTCCCTGTCCCCTCCATGTGCCTTAGCATAGCTTCTAGGAGGATCTGTTCCATGATCTTCCCAGGCACAGAGGCGAGGCTGACAGTTGGTAGCTCGCAGGTCCTCCTTTCTACCCTTTTAAAAAATGGGTGCAATATTTCCCTTCTTCCAGTCACCAGGGACTTCACCTGACTGCCGTGACTTTTCAAATATCACGGATAGTGGCTTGGCAACTACATCAGCCAATTCCTTCAAGACTCTGGGATGCATCTCATCAGGTCCCATAGACTCACGTGTGTTCAGGTTGCTCAGCTGGTCTTGAACCTGATCTTCTCTTACAGTGGGACTTCATTCCTACAGTCCCTGCCTGGTGGTCCATCCACTCAAGAGGTGTGGGAAGACAGGTTGCCAGTGAAGACTGAGACAAAGAAGTTGCTGAGTAACTAAGCCTTCTCTTCGTCTACTGTTAACAGTTTGCCAGTCTTGTTCATCGGAGGGATACGCTTTCTTTTCTGGCTGACATGCCTATAGAAGCCCTTCTTATTCTTTGCATCCCTTGCCAAGTTCAGCTCCAACCACACCTAGGCCTTCCTGACTCCATCCCTACACAACCAGACAGCGTCCCTATACTCTTCCCAGGATACCCGTTCCTGCCTCCATTGCCTGTGCATTTCCTTCATGCCCTTTAGTTTCACCAGCATGTCTCGACTCAGCCATGCTGGTCTCTCTCTTCCCTTCCTTTCCTGATTTCTTATACCTGGATATCGAGAGCTGTTACGCTTTATGCAAAATGTCCTTAAAGATCTGCCAGCTCTGTTCTGTTCCCTTGTCCCTGGGGGCAGTTTCCCAGGGGGTCCTATTGACTAACTCCTTGAACAGCTGGAATTTTGCTTTCCTAAAATTCAGGGTCCTGACTTTACTCTTTGCCTGACCCACATTCCTCAGGACTGCAAACTCCACCAGTGCATCATTGCTGCAGCCCAGGCTGCCTCCAATCTTGATGTCACCAATTAGCTCACTTGTGTTGGTGACCATCATGTCCAGTATGGCCTTCCCTCGGGTTGGGCTGCCTAATACGTGGCTTAATAAGTTATCCTCAATGCACTCCAGGAGTCTCCTGGATTGCCTACAGCTCCCTGTGCTACTTTTCTGGCAGATGTCAGGGTGGTTAAAGTCCCCCAGAAGAATGAGAGCCTGCAAGCACAATGCCTCCTGTTTGCTGGAGTAAGAAGACTTCATCAATAGGCCCCCCTTGATCAGGTAGCCTATAGTAGACACCAATCACAAGGTTCCCTTTGTTGCCTCAGTCTCCAATTCTTATCCATAAGCCTTCAACCTGCTCGCTGCTATTCTTCAAAGACAGTTCTTCACAATCTATCCATTTCTTGATGTAGAGGGCAATGCCTCTGCCCATCCTTCCTTGCCTGTCCCTTCTGAACAGCCTGTAGCCATCAATAGCCATGCTCCAGTCATGGGATTCATCGCACCAAGTTTCAGTCATGGCAACTAGGTCATAGCTTTGTAACAGCATGGTGACATCCATTTCCTCCTGTTTGTTGCCCATGCTGTGTGCACCGGTGTACAGGCACTTCACCTGGGCTGTCGGCTG